CCCCAAAACCCCAAAACCCCAAAACCCCAAAACCCCAATCTTATAATTTATTGTTGAATTATTTATCATTTTTGACTTCTCTAGAGATATTACTATAAACACCTTTGTAGTTAATATGGTGAACCTGCTCTTTATGGTGAGGGACTGACATGTAGCTCCCACTGAAACCAGTAGCTCCATTCATGAGGTAAGGTGAATGCTTCTGTTCAAGATTTGAGGTATTTAGTTTAGACTCCTCAGGGATGTAATACTGGGTATTATGGTTACCAGAAAGAGCTTTGTTTGGCGAGAGATATGGAGAATCATGAGTTTTAGTTTTTAGCTCCTCTAAAGCACTCTGATTTGACTGTAAGAAAAAATTAGAGAGGGCTCATTAGTTTAGAAAAAATACTTACCTTTTCTTTACTCTGAGCATTTTTAGGAGTCTTATTTGATGATGTTTGAGTTGTATTTTTAGGTTGAGAGTTTTGATGAACTCCTGATTCTTTTTGAGGTGTTTGAGCTACTTGAGCTATTTGATGCTGTTGGGCAGGCTGACCACCATAAATTGGAACATTAGGATTTATGTTTTGCATTTGAGGATGGTGGATCATCTGTCCTTGAGGGTTCATCCCTTGTCCATGCATTCCAGGATGAGCCATTCCTTGTCCATGCATTCCAGGATGAGCCATTCCTTGTCCATGAGCTCCAGGAGGAACCATCCCAGTAGAAGGATTAGATAACTGGTGATGAGTAGCATTCGGCTGATTCTGGTACACACCCATCTGCTGCTGAAATTGTTGCTGAAGCTGGTCATGCATAGTCTCATTCACTTGATATGGATACTTCTGAGTATACCCCATATTAGACTGCATCTTCATCCCGTACTTATACCTCATCTCATCAACATACTTATGATTGACCTTATGAGGATACAATTTCATGATTATTTGAAGCATCATTTCTCCATTGGGGTCATAAGGATTTACTAATTTATTGACGTTGAGTCTAGGATACCTATCCATCTTTCTCCATACAAAAATCATGAAGGCGAAGACAGCACAGCTATAGATAGTAGGACCCCTTTTATTTGCCTAAATAGTTGACGAATAAATCCTCTGTTCTTGTCCCTACAGGACTCCTATAGAGGAAAAGGGTCAAGAATCCTGCTGTAAGCATTTCAAAAGTATCGTGCATGTGTGTGAAATTGGTTAACTTCAGGGAATAGTTAATGATAGCATTATTTTCAGAGTTTTGTTGGCTGATACGATCCTTGAAATAATACCTATAACACCATAAATTAGTCATTATTTAGATAAAATTAGCCAGGCCCAGGTTGGATTAATTTGGCGAGATGGCCCGACTTATAAAAAATATTACTAAGAACGAAGACTGAGGCTTCTAAGGTTCAAGTAATATCTAATAAGTCAGCTTACTTAAAGGTTCCCACTCATGTCCTAAATTCTTTCTCACTAAAATTGGCCAATACATCATTAGGCCCACTGTAAAACATGCTGCTTACTGCTCCCATTTTAAGGTAGGTTTTATTTTATAATTTTCAAGGATTTTATAGAAGATCGGGGTTTTGGGGTTTTGGGGTTTTGGGGTTTTGGGG